GCTGGCGCAGCCCTCGGGGGCGGTGACGAGGCGGGTGTCGAGGACGCGGAGCGCGGGGTTGACGAGCAGGCGGAGCGGGAAGGGCTCGATGCGGTGTGCGTGGCGCAGCGCCGCCGGGTACTGGGCGCAGCGCTCGGGCGACAGCTCGGCGGCGAACACCCGCAGCGGCACCCCGAGCTGCGGAGCGCTCAGCCCCAGGCACGGCCGGCCCCGCAGCCCCGCCGTCAGCGCCGCCGCCAGCCGCCGCAGCTCGGGGCCGCCCAGCTGCTCCGGGGCCACGGCGGCGGCGGCGCCGCGCAGCACCGGGGCTCCCACCTGCAGCGGCGCGGCGAAGGGCGGCTCGGGTGGGCCTAGCACCCGCCGCCGCAGCGCCCGCCAGTAGGAGCGCTCCCGCCGGGCCCAGCCCGCCGCGGCCCCGTCCCCGCACCCGCGGCACGGGGTAACCGCGAGCGCCGGGCGGGCCCGTCCCGCCGCCCGGCCCAGCGCCGCCGCCATCGAGCACCGGCTGCGCGCGCACCCGCGGCGGCACGGCGCCCCCTGGCGGCCCCGGTGCACGCAGGAAACGGGGCCTGTGCCCGGTGTGGGGGGGGGGTGGCCGGTGAAGGGACATCCCGCGAGCAGGGGACGGGCTGGGCGGGGGGACAGGTCACTGCCACAGGCAGACACGGCCCGGCCGCGCCGCTCCTCAGCTACCCCGTGGCCACCGGGTCATCCGGCAGGACAGCCTTCTCGGGGGGATTCTCTGCGAGCTCAGTGGGCACGGCTGTGATTTCCCCCTCCGGGCACACGGTGGTCTCCTGGGCGGGCTCCTCCTTGTCCGGTGCCGGTGGAAGCAGAAAAGCCAGTGGCTCCCTGAGTGCGGCCACGTCGATGCGGCCCAGGCGGCCAAAACGCTGCAGCTGGGTGGGGGGGATGCCTGGGAGAGGGGAGAGTGGGGGTCAGGGGTGGCAGCAGGTAACGGGATCCCTAAAGAGGGACAGCAGCAGGGCAAGGGGAAAAACATGGGTGGGAGCAGAGCTGCCACCCCGTAATGAAAACCAAAGCCCAGGATCTCACCCAGTGCCTGTGCGATCTGTGCCGGAGGGAAAAGCACCTGGAGGCAGCGGTTCAGGTAAGGCAGCAGGTCCTCCAGGAAGGCCATGCAGAACTGGACAAAGAGCTCCTGCTCTCGCCCACTGAAAGCCGCCTCCTCTGCACGGTGGAAGGCCAGGATGGTTTTGGTCACCTGGGGAGAGAGGCAAGTGTGGCACTTGGGAGTGACAGTGACTGAACATGAGCCCAGGTGGGCAAGGAGGACAATGGCACCTGGATTGTACCAGCCATAGTGTGGCAGGACCAGGGCAGTACCATCCCCTGTGCTGGCTCTGCGGGGACTGGATTAAAAGCCGTGTGGATGTGGCACCTGGGGACATGGGTTAGTGGTGGCCTTGGCAGTGCTGGGGGAATGATTTGATTCGATGATCTCAGAGGCTTTTCCAACCCACTAAGGCCAGGACAAACCCATTCTGTGTTCTCCCAGCACAAGTCCCAGCACCATCCTCCAGACTCACCTCCCCAAGGGCGCTGTCCAGGCAGGCAGTGACATCCTGTGCCAAGGCGATGGGGCAGCAGAGCCGCAGGTCGTTGAAGGCGACGAGGAGGCCGTTGAGGAAGCAGGCAAGGGGAGGGAAGTCCAGCAGCACCATGGGGGGCTGCAGCGTCCCAGGCTGGGCCGTGGGCACCAGCACCGCCGCGCTGCCCCCCAGCACGGCTGGCGCTGAGATCAGCGTGTAGGAATTCATCTCCTCACGGAACTTCTCCACCGCCTCGTCCACCGCCTTCCTGAAAGTATCGGCAGCCACACGCTGGAAGAGGGGGGCCAGCTGCCCACGGAAATCTGCGCCCACCCTGCTGAAGGACAGCCCGAAGTACATGCACTGCCCCAGCAGCGAGTCCAGCCGGCTGCCCACCCCACGGTCCAGGTCGTGCTCCAGCGTCCGCAGGAACTCAGAGACCTTCTGGAGCACCCAGCCATGGAAGATGGCCCCCTCGGCAGGCGCCGTGCCCTCAGCTGGCACCAGTGGCTCCTCGTCTGAGAAGATGGCACGGTACTGGGTGATGATGTCGAAGAGGTGCACCCGGCAGGCCTCGATGGTCTTGGTGATGTGCACGTAGGGGTCGTGGTCAGGGATGGAGGCTTGGATGGAGCGCAGCCACGCGTCCCGCGCCTGCAAGAACTTGACACGCAGCTCAGCCTCAGTGAGCACATCCATGCGCCGCAGGAAGCCGATGATGCGCAGGCAGGCCGGCAGCGGGATGTTGGTGCGGAGCTGCTGGATCAGCTGGTTCAGCATCAGCTGGGCAGACTGGCGCACCTCCTCCACGATGCCCTGTGCGGGGAGAGACAGGGGGCAGAGTGGGACTCACGTGGACCATGGGGCAGGGACAGCATAGGGTTCACCTGGATTATGGGGCAGGTCAGAGTGGGGCTTACCTGGATCACGGGGATGCTGTTGTGCTTCCTCTCTAGCCGGCGCACATAGGCTGCAAGCTCCAGCGCCTCCTCGTAGTAGCCATTGCGGACACAGGTGTCCATGAGTTGTGGGATCTCCAGGATCTCCAGGATCTCCGTGTGCCTGTTCAGAGTCAGGCTGTTCATCCGCCGGCTGCAGGCGATCGCCTCAGCATCACGCATGAAGGCCCTGGGGGTCGAGACAGCATCAGCAGGAGGGTCCTTCCTGCACCGGGTGGACCTCGGGACCCTCCCATCCACACTGGCCGCTTCCAGCACTGCCCAAGGGCCCCCCTGCGCTGCCTCCAGCCCAGCCCAGTCTAGCCAGTCCCGGCCCTTACTGGGCTCAGCATGGGACCCCTCGCAGCCCCCAGCCCACCCTCCCCTGCCCAGGGCCGCTCCTGTTGCCGCAGACCCTTCTCCAGCTTCATCCCATCCCTGGTCCCTCCTGTCCCCATTTCCACCCTCACCTTCCCCGCCCCGGTCCCCCGGTTCCCCCCGCGATGCCCTCCCGCACCGGCAGGCGTCCTGCAGCGCGGGCAGCCGCTCCAGCAGGCTGCCGAGGCGGCTCTCGATGCCGCCGAAGCCGCGGCCGGCGCGGCCGGTGCACTCTGCGGAGCGGATGAAGGCGCGGTAGTGCTCGAAGGCGAGGCGGCGCGTCTCGGCCCCGACCCGCGCCCGCTCCGCCGCGAGCCGCGCCGGCTCCCGGCCCAGCTCCGCCAGCCCCAGCGCCGCCAGCTCCGACACGTAGGCGGCGAGCTCGGGGCCGGTGGGCCCCGCGGCCGGGCCGCGCAGCCACGCCAGCAGCCGCGCCTCCTCCGCCGCCGCCGCCATCGCCGCCGGCCCCGCCGCGTCACCGCCGGTTCCGGGCACGGCCCTTCCGGCCCCGCCGCCCCGCGTGCGCCCGGCGGGAGATGCGGCCGCTCACAGAGGCGGAGACGCGGGCGGTGTTCGAGAAGCTCGGGAAATAGTAAGGGGCCGGGACACTGGGACGGGTGGACCGGGGAGGGATGGGCCGCTGGGACCGGGAGCGGCAGGGGGACCGGGAGGGATGGGTTGGCTGGACCCCGGGGACCGGGAGGGATGGGCCCGGGCCCGGGTTCGGGATGGACACTGGTGGGGACCGAGGAGGGGATGGGCACCAGGGATCGGGCGAGACCAGGCAGCGAAAGGGGATGGGGACCGGGTGGGATGGATACAGAGGACCGGGGAGGGGATGGGAGGGACGGGACCTGGACCAGCCTGGGGATCGGGAGAGCTGGAACCTGGCGGGGCCGGGCACGGGGAGGGAACGGGGACCGGAGGGGCCGCGGCCAGGCCGCGCTCACGGGGTCCGTCGCCGCAGCATCGGTGAGAACATCCAGCTGCTGGTGGACCGGCCCGATGGCACCTACTGCTTCCGCCTGCACCGGGACCGCGTGTACTACCTCAGGTGAGCCCCGGGGGCGCGGTGGGCTCTGGGGCAGCCCCCGCGGGGCGGCAGCCCCGCAGTCCCCCCGCATTGCCCTGCTCCCGCAGTGAGAAGTTGCTGAAGCTGGCGGCCAGTGTCCCCCGAGACAGCCTGGTAGCCCCGGGCACCTGCTTCGGGAAGTTCACCAAGTCCCAGAAGTTCCGGCTCAGTGTCACAGCCCTGGACTTCCTCGCACCCTATGCCAAGGTGGGACACAGCCCCCCAAGCCACCTCCAGCCCATGCCAGCCCCCCAGCCACAGCCCCCGGCCCCTCACCACTCTGTCCTCTCTTGCAGTACAAGGTGTGGGTGAAGCCTGGCTCAGAGCAGTCCTTCCTCTATGGCAACCACGTGCTGAAGTCGGGGCTGGGCCGCATCACGGAGAACACGGCGCAGTACCAGGGTGTGGTGGTGTATTCCATGGCTGACGTCCCGCTGGTGAGAGCCCGGTGCCTGTCATGGCTGTGGGGTGGTACTGGGTGGGAGAACTACTTCTCACCCCTCTTCATCCCTCCAGGGTTTTGGGGTGGCTGCCAAGTCCACGCAGGAGTGCCGGAAGGTGGATCCCTTGGCCATCGTGGTGTTCCACCAAGCCGACGTCGGAGAGTATGTGCGGAACGAGGACACACTGACCTAAGGGATTCCACGGACCTGAAGAGACTCTCATGCCCTGCAAGTGTTTCTGAGCAGAATGGACCTTGTCCTGGACCATGGGTCTGGGGAGCCACAGGGAGCCCATCCCAAGTGGGAGGGAGAGGGGCTGCCAGTATGCACGCCCACAGCCCTGGGGGAGCTGCTGCCAGCATGAGGGAACGTGCCCCTGCACCAGCCTTGTCACATAAAGCCTGTTCCTTTTCCCAGTGCTTGTTGTCTGGTGTGGAGCCTCAGAGGGTTCAACCTTTGCCCCTTCTGCCATTCTCTGCCCCCCTGGGGCAGCACAGTGCACTAAAGTGCAACTCCACAGAGGGGAAGCAATGTGTTCGAGGGGATGGATGAGGCCAGGGGGAATCTCAGAAGGAAGCTTACAGCCCAGGGCTGAGGTTCAGGGAGGGGGAGATAAGCAGGCGATTGCTCCTGGGCTCACAGAAGCTGGACAGCAGCAACAGACAGTGATCACTCCCCAGGGTGTGCCAGGCGTTCCTTTATTGGGAGTCTGGTAAAAAAAGCCCATTGGGACACTAATGATGGGCAGGGATGTGACAAACCCTTCTGCCACACAAATCTCAGGTGACAGTGTGGTGCTTGGCTTCTCTGGGGGTGATTTCAGGGCTACAGCTGGAGGCAGAAGGGAGGGGAACTCTCCAACCTCCTCCTGGAAGCAGGATCTGGCCTTCCCTCCCCTTCCACAGCAGAGTCACCAGGCACTGGCAGCCATAGCCCTGCCCTGATCTAGCACTTCTGGGTGCCAGAGGTTTGTGCATGGAAAAGGCGCTTGAGGAAGTAGAGCTGCAGCACCCCGGAGACAACAATGACACAGCTCTGGGCCATCGACCACCAGTTGACATAGTTGTAGTTGGACTCCAGGAGGAAGGAGTCAGCCCCTTTCCTCATCTGGGCAAAGTTGTAGAAGCGCCACATGTGGAAGGTGTGGATCTGCAGCCTCTGGATGCTGATCTGCAGGAGAGGCAGAGCTGCTCTCAGACCTGCCTGCCGGGCTCAGCACTGAATTCAACAGCAGCTCAGCCAGAGCAAATGCCCTTCTCAGTCCCCTAAGCAGGACGTGCCCATCGCCGCCGTGCTAGACCACCCCGTGGCCACCCTGACCCTCACCTTGATTGCCTCCAGTGTGTCATTCAGCTCCTTCTTCTCCACAGGCTGCTTGTGTTCCATGTTGAAGTCATCATAGTAGACACCAAAGTTCAGATACACTTGCAGGAAGCCGAAGTGGTTTTGCTGGTTGTTCAGGCACAACTCATAGAAGCCTGCAGAGGGAAATGAGGGTTGTTAGTCTGTGGGTAGAAAGGCAGCAGGCAGACACATCCCCAGCGGTTGACCCTCATCCATCCCATCTGGGAGCAATCGGCACTCAAGAAGGCTCGGAGCTGCTGCAGGGGCCGGGGCAAGGGTGACCTGTGTCCTTGGTGACAAAGTTGATCTGTCCTCGCACATCCTGGGAGACACCAAGCTGGAAGCCATTGGGGTCACTCGCTGTGACCAGGATGTTCCTGCTGTTGCCGATCCCTGTCGCCCGCTGGACCTGGAGGCAGAGAACACCTGAAGGGAATTCACTGTCCACTGGTGTGTGGATGGAGCTGTGCTGAGCCCCAAGGCCATGTTCCTGTGGGGCTGCTCTGCCAAGCGCAGAGCTGGGGGAAAGCTGCCAGCACCAGGCACAGCCATGCCCCGGCTCTCCTTCAGCCAGCCCAGTGTAAACAGGAGATAAAAAGGCTGGAGTTTCCCTGCAGGAAGGGAATGGAGCATGGGGACACACCGTGCTGAGACCTTCAGCAGTGCCACAGCGTCCGCCCAGACAATGAAAGGAAGAGCTCCCCCCAGTGCCAGGACACCTCACAGCTCTCAGTGAGTGAGCTCGGGGTGCTCAGGCACCACGTCCACAGCTCCCAGCACCACTTTGTGATTTTAAGCGAGGTATTCAAATAAATACATGGGGATTGATGATGGATAGAGATAAGGTTAGATATTGGGAAGAAATCCTTTCATGTGAGGATGGTAAGGCCCTGGCAAAGGTTGCCAGAGAAACTGTGGCTGTCTCATCCCTGGAAGTGTCCAAGGTTAGGTTGGATGGGGCTTGGAGCAACCTGGTCTAGTGGAAGGTGTCCCTTGCCCATGGCAGGGGGTGGAATGGGATGAGCTTTAAGGTCCATTCCCACCCAAACTATTCCATGATATTGCCTAGAAAAGGCACAGCCCTGAGGGGTGTTGTGCCACAGGACCTGCTGCATGGGACTGATCCAGCACAACCGTTCCCTGCCTATGTCAGCAGCTTCCCGGGCCATGTCTCCAACACTCACCTCGTAGCTGAAGAAGAAGTTGCTGCCCTGGTGCGAGAACTGCCAGAAACACTCCACGGCGCCGCCGGGGACAACGACGGCGAAGTCGTAGCGATCGGCCCCGCGGAACAGCGGCTCCGGGCTGGACCCACTCAGGGGCTCCGTGCGGGGGCAGCCGGCAGGGCCCAGCAGCACCAGGAGGAGCAGCAGCAGCAGCATCCTTCTGCTCCTGGGCTCCAGCACTCGCTCCTGCTAGGAAGGGCAGAGCAGGACGGGGTGGCTGGGGGGGGGGGTAATCATTAACTGCTCCGCAGTGCTGGGAGGAGCACGGCACAGGCTCCACGGCTCAAGGTGATCCTGGTGTGGAGCAGAAGCTCTGGGACACCCTCCCTGTGCTGCTGAGGGCGCAGCCTGGAGAAGGGTGTAACAGGACACAGCTCCTTCCAAACACGGCACTATCAACTGGCATTGCCTCACAAGGGCCATCACTGGCCCACACTGAGCCTCTCTGCCCCAGAGCTCCTGCTGCCGATGGCTGCTCCAGCCCCAGGGAAAGGATTTACAGGCATAAAGAGGGAAATGCATGGCCCCAGCCAGGGGACAAGGGACACTGTGCAGCACCTGTGGCTGAAGGACAGAGGGGGAAGCAGGTGTTCCCAGATGGAGTTCTCCCAGCCCTGGCTCTGATGGAAAACAGCCAGAGAACCCTAAAACTAAGTTTAGAAAATGCCCCTGTATTTCCCCTGCCCTTACTCCACAGAAATCTAAGCCAGAAACTCCTGTTTCCCACCTACACCTATAGGACAGCACTGCTCCTGCCCCAACAACCCCAAAGGGGAAGGGGGAGCCCCACATTGCCAGGGCAGTCCTTGCCCCACACCACTGCATTTCCACCCACAAGATACAAATTTACTCTTTTTTACAAACTCTCAATACCCAACAAGAAAGGGACTTTATTTTTTAAAACTCTTGGTATCCAAAAAGAAAGAGACTTTATTTTACAGACATGGATTGGACATGGATTCCAGCTTTGGTAGCTGAAGGCAGGAACACACAGCGCCCTCATAGCTCACGCGCTCACAGGGATTGCATATGGTAGAAGGACCTTACCAGGGAAAGTGCCAGGAAGACACGGCCAAACTCAGCCAGAACTGGAACTTTAAACATGAAAACAACCATTTCTAAGTACTGAAACACAAAATAATATTCTAAAGTCTTGGGGTGGGAGTGAGGGAGGATTTGACTAATGACAATTAGTCATTTACAAAGCAAAAAAAAAATAATGGGGAGATAAAAAAAAGAAGAAAAACTAGAGTAGATCCGCTTGCCTGTTCCCCCCAGGAGCTCTGCGACTCAGTGCTGCCTCTCTCCCATGGGGGAGTGATGGCAAATGGGTGAAACAAGTGATTCAGATATCAGACAGGGATAATCCTGACTGACAGTACCTGTGCAGAGCAATCCAGCTGGCATTCATCCCACAGAGGCTGCAGTGGTCAGGGGAACAAGGAAATCTCCATCCAGGCAGTTCTGAGCACAGGCAGAGAGGCTGCACAGCCTCTGCCACCTGCAGTATTTTGCAGCTCCAGCTGGAGAACAAGGCTCCTGGGTTCCTGGCAGTCGTGGTTTTGGGGTGTCAGAGGAGTTCCCCACACTGGGACAGCCTCCCTGTGCCAGCACTCTGGTTCAGCTTCCAAAAAACAAAATGAGTTTTTGCAGGGAATGTCCCAGGGCTCCCAGCTTCAGAGGATTCCCTGTTTCTTCATGGTCCGCCAACGGTCCTTGATCATCACTGCTGTGCGGTTCTGGAACGGGTACTTCTGGCAAATGGCCTTCCATCTCCCCTCTCCAAACTTCTTCACACCCTGCTTGATCCACTCACTCTCCTGGATCGTCCATTTCTACACAGAGCAGGTGAACAGGTTCAGGGAAGAGCTGAACAGCAGAGAACCTGTTGCAGCTCCTTCCTGACACGTTCCTTCCCTGTGCCAGGACAGGCAGGGAAGGCAGACAGGTGCTGGCAGCTGCACACACAACACTCCAGCACTACAGATATAGTGCAGCAGCACAAGAGCCAGCAGCTGCCCTCCTACAGCTTAGGGGAAGAGTTCCTGCTGGCACCAGCGTTGGGACCTTTTCCCAGGTAACAGCTGCCAGACATGTGTCCCTCACCTGAACAAGGCTTTAAATCCCTCCAGCACATGGGGAATTTGGCAAACCTGGCTCTGAGCTGTCAAGGCAAAGGTACCTGAGGCACATTCCTAGTGCCCAGCTTCAGCCAACTTCCAAACGGGGCTGTTTTACCACAGAGACTGTACAGACACCGCCCCACTTCAGGCCCTACTGGAAGCACCTAAGACTTTACATACCTGTTTCTTGGAGCTAAAGATTGTGGAGTTGTTTGTCCCGATTGATGCTGGAAAACAAGGAAGAGGGTTACATACCCCAAAACTTGGGAGGTACAGTCTCTTCGAAAGACTGCCTCAGGCTTAACTACTGAGCTGTGCAGTCAGAGCACCCCATGACAGGCAACAAACCCCAATTCCTTTCTCCCAGCCTTTCTACTGGATTTCTGGTTTCAAAATTCATTCACCCTTGGTAGCAACACCCCTGTGAGTGACCCCCAAGCCAAGAATAGCACCAGGTAAGCCCTGCCAGGGGACTCTGTTCTTACCTCCATCTGAGAAGAGGTCATCCTCCTCGCTCCAACTGTCCTTTTCTTCCCTGCCACGCGAGCTGTTCCACCTTCCCTTGAAGGACCTGAAAGCAGATGAGGATTTACTTTGGCTTCTGGCTCAGGAGAAGGTTTTTGGGGAAGAAGTGCAGGACCACCCAGCACAGAAAGCCAGCCCGTGGACATTTTGCTTCTCAAGAGGTAGGAAGTAAAGTTCAAGCTGTTCCATAGGATGCTCCTACAAACTCTGGCCAATTGTGCTGAAGCTGGCAAAAGTGCAGAGAAACGCATGTTACCTGCACTGGAATCACCTGCCAGGACTACCCGCAGCACCCCACTGCCAGCGGGAGCTGGATCGTTTTCTCCTCTCCATTAACCCATAATTAATTTAAAAGCCAAATATGAGGACAAGAGTTTGTTGTGCCCAGTTCCACGTGTGCTGGTGGACAAGGTCAATACTCTCACTTTGGGTTAAAGAGCAAGAAGTTAGTGCTCACACTGCTGACATCAGTGCAAGACAAGACTGGGGGCAGAGCAGACTATACCACAAAACAGAGGCTCCATACTTGGCACTCTCAGTAGTCACTGGCTGGTCATGCAATTTCTGAACAGGTCTGGGTCTGGAAGCAGAAGAGACCACGGGCTCCTGGGAAGAGTCGGGGCTCTCACTCGACTTGCTGGACTGGTTGTCTGCCTCCATTACCAGTTCGCTTATGGTGAACAAGCGTTTGCCCTTATGGGGTATTTCAGGAGGGTCTGAGATCTCAGAATCTTGATTCTCCACTTCTTTCCGTCTCTTGGTTCTGTGGGATACAGAAGGAGACAGTTGCTTGGGGAAGGTAAAGTCTGTTTCGTCCAGTTTGGTGAAGAGTGCATCAGAGTCCTGGGAGTCCGACAGGATCTTGAAAGCTTCTCTCAGAACAGAAATCCCACACGAGGTTACAGCTCCGGGGGGCTGCCTACAAAATAAACACAACCGAGCAGGTTGTAGAGAAACCACCACGGGAGCTCTGCTGCCCCAAAATCCGGCCTCTCCCTCCCCCAACACCTGCCTTATGGACTCCGAGGAAGAGGGAATTCCCAACCCACCTGTCCGCCCTCCTAAACAGTGCAGTGTCTCAGGAAGCAGGTTTGGAGGACATGTGTCCATGCTCCACTGCTGCCCTACTATTCCCAGCTAAGGGCTGAACCACAGGGATTCCAGCTCTGCTCCACATGAGCAAACCTTCCGCAGCCACGGCCCCCTTCCCTGGTCACAGCAGCAACCAAACCAAACCAGCTCAACACCTTTCCCGGGATCCGCAGTCCTGTACCAACACCTTTGGGCTGGCCTGGGCTGGCATTTAGGGACTTAGGAGCTGCCTGGACACAGGGGATTACCCCATAGAAGAGAACTATGGCCACCTTCACAGTCCAGGGCCAGACTCCTCTGCCCACCTTTCTGAGTCCCTGGCGGACACTTCTGGAAGTTCTGCAGTTACTTTGGTAGCTGGTTCTTTAGCTACTTCCACAGGCTCTGGAGTATCTTTCAGGACATCAGGTTCTGATGTTAAATGATCAGGAGTTGCTGCTGGGTCGGTGGCTACTTCCATAGGTTCTGGAGCTGCTGCAGGGCCACTGGCTCCTTCCATGGCCTCTGGAGCCACTGCGGGATGCGCTGCCCTTTCTACAGGGCTGGCAGCTCCCTCTGGCTCTTCTGCTGCTCCTGCAGGCTCTGGGGCTCCTGCAGGACCCTCTGCCCTTCCTGAGTCCTCTGGAGCCGCTGTCTGGTCCTCTGGCCCACCTGCAGACTTGGGAGTCACCGATAAGGATTTTGGTTCATCGGTGTGTTCCAAATTCAAAGTTTTTTTCATTACCTTGGAGAGAGAGAAAGCACAGCACCATTACAGAGATGATTCCTCATGCTCCAATCACATTTTATCCCCTCCCAAAGGCATTTCATGGATTGAAAAACATGTTCAACCATATAAACCTTTAAGGGATGGACCGAATTTAAAGCATTCTGGATTTAACTTTCTGCTAATTGGGCACCTCAGCTCCGGGGCACTGGGGTGGACACGCACCGTCAGCAGCAGCGGCTCCGAGTCGTCCACATAGACCTTCAGGAACTCAAATATGCTCTGCTGGAAGTCCTTGTAGGAGAAGTTTTTGACCTTTGGATGAGAGAAATTCTTCTCCCGGATGACAGCCAGCCACTCGTTCCTCTTTTTCTAGGGAATTGTAGAATCAGGTAAGAACGCTGTGCAGGGACAAGGGGAACAGTGACAACCATAGCGAGGATCTGGGCCTTTCCTGTCTGCCTTTCTCCAGGCACAACCAATTTACACTGCAGTGAGGCTGGGAAAAGGCCAGAGGAACAGAAAAAGAAACAGCAGAGCCACCTTATTTCAGGAATTCTCCTTGCCTTCAGTGCCCAAGCACCCCAGTGGCTGCAGAAATAGGAACGGGAACTCCTGCTGCCCCAGAACCAGCTCTAGATGCGGGTCTGAAGCTCATCAAGGGATAAATGGGATGCTGGGAAGACCCATGGAGGAAAAATGAGTGAGAG